ATTAATTTGAAGACAAGCGAAATTTATGAGGGGAGTGGATACCATCAAAATTGACTTATAATAGCAGATTGGAATGAAACTATATTTTAGGCCCATTTTCAAACGGAAGATTCATAAGATCCGTTGTTCCATCGAGAAAAAGACAAAAAAGACTATTGAAAAAAAATCCAATATCATCATTAGACGTAATGCAGAACAAAATCATCATAGATAAAGATTAATTTACTGCTAAACTACGTGATGAAATTGAAAATTCGAGAACGAAACATTGAATGGCGTTTTCAATACCGACCAAATTCAAGATCTATCAGCAAGGAGGAAATGTAGCAAAAGGAGGAAAATCAAAACAATCTCCATGTTTTTCACTTTATCACTCGGGGAAAGTTTTAGATACAGTAAGGAATAAATATATCCATATGTGCCCATTTTGTTATATTGGAATGTCGTTACATGAATTCTTCACATTTTTATAACTATTATCCTGCGAGAAGTGTATCGCTACATAAATCGAAGTGGGTGTTTATACCCTATTTCTCTTATCCATCTACGACAATGATTGATTCGACAGAATATCTAACCTCTAAAAGAGTATTTAACAATCAGGCGCTACTAGGAATATATGTCCTATTCTTGTATTCACTCAAGCTACCGTTATATCGAGAATAGAAAAGGATAGAAGTTCAGCTGTGTCCGAACTCTTATCTAAAACTTATACCATCCAGTGACTCTACGTGAATAAACTCATGGTAGAAACATTGTTCTGAACTCGTTCACAGCAAATGCATAGAAGGTTGGATATTTGGAGAACAGATTAGAAGTTTGAGAAGAGTGTACAAGGAATTTATGAATTAAGTACCTACCCATTCTTAAATGTTATGGTGAAAGTGACCATCACCAAATCTTAGGAAAATACGAGATGATTGATGAGATTAACAGATTACTTTGGATTCGTTTCGAATATCGAATTATTTTTCTCTACTTCATTTATAGTGATTGCCAGGATCGAATAACATTGATCAATGAAAGATGATCAGTACGAAAATTCCATCAGGTAAATTTGGTTTGTGGAAACATCGTAATACCGTTTTTCTAATTGATTCTGATAGATATCTGAGATCAAATCAAAAATCTAATGAATTCTGTTCGAAATATCCTGAATAAATATTCATTTAGTCTTGAACAGTCTCAAAGTAGTTCTGATGCACTTTTGAAGTCAGTATTGATCTATCTTCGAACTGACTCTAGAACGATATCTCGATATCAATTCTATTTAGTAATAAAAAGTTCCACCAATGAGCCTCGTGAATAATGAATATCAAATTCATGGAACAGACTTGAATCAAGACTTGAATGATCTGCAAAGTATTTCCCTTCTGGTCGTAGGAGTGTCATCAGTAACTTCCTGACAGAAAGATGATCCACTACACTGTTATACCACTAACCTAACTGATTTGTTTGAACGCCTCGACACGTGTTGCCCTTACTATGTTATCTTCAGGAGAAGACTAAAACTAAATATCCTACTCTAGTGTGCTACTTATAGTACCTATATACTAGGTATACGTGTAAAAATATGTTACAAGGATCAAAGAACATTTAGCACAAGGTAGGTTAGATAAATCGTGTGTAGCCGCACACATGTCTAGTCACAATTATAACATAAACATATCAAGAACCTCAAATAACTATTTAAGCAAGTTGATAATATTAGAAGATTATTTTTATATAGAAGCCTAGAGTTCCCAGAGGTATTTGAGAATAGTAATAGAGTGATGAATGAGGATAATAGACCTTATTTCATATAGTGAGGCGTTTGAAAATATCGGTTTGGTATTAGTGGTGAAACAGTGAAGTGAAACAAGTAGATTGTTCATCAAATTTCATGCCTGGAATACACACTCACCAATCTTGGAGGCAGCGACTGACCGTGTTACTTGGCTGCTCATACATCATCTTCCGAAGTCTTCTGCCTGAAGAGACACGAGTGAGAAAAGTGATCATTCGAACTCTCTGAGACCGATTACTAACGCAGTCAACCTCGAAAAGTATGCAACAATCTTCCAGGCGAAGTGTTTGCTATTGAAATGTGTGTGTGTATGCTCTTGAAGCACTAAGCTCCAGCAATATGAGCTTCGAAGAGCTTGATTTGGGATCTAGGATAAAAAGAATTGCCCCGTTGCTCTAATAGTCTGCAAGAGCGAGGATGTTCCGGCTCACCAGTCATCATCAACCGCTTTTGGTCTGCTGACAATTAGAACAACTCAACGCTTCGGTAATATCATTCAGGTCGAGGTTACAAAAAATAAGCAGCTATGAATAGTACATCAAGGAGTTTATACAGGATTACTGATGGTAATTCGATACATCGCTTTGGGGATGTGATAGGCAAAAGTCGATAGTTTTTGAGATATTCAAATTCTTCTGATTTTATCCAAAATGTAGACTTCAACGGCTTTGAAGTTTCCCGAAAATTGGCTGTACACTTTTTCAACCTTTCAACTATAAAATCATAACTCCCAATTAACATGGATTTCTGAACAAAAAATCAATTTCTTCAGCAATGTATGATATTAGTCAATTATTTATAATAAATTGGACACGAGGATCAACCAAATCGAGTTAGCCTGTGACTTTAAGAGGGGTTTCAATAGTGTGAGTTTTGAAATACTGCTCCTCAAACGCCTCTCAAATGTTTCACTAATTATATTCTCCATAAACAACAAAGGGTGATCATCTCAAGAGACAATAAGGAAGTTTATTCTGATTGGGGTGATATGAACACAGTCCTACCATCTTAGGTCCACTTTTATTCATTCTGTATATCAACGATCTGCCAAGCAATATTCCTCAGGCTCCCACAACGATGTTTGCCGATGATACATTATTCCTAATCGATGGTTCAAACCCGCAAGAATCTACCCTAAATCTGAACTCGACATTGATAACAATAAATCATTGGTGCGAAATGAACAACATTAGTGTAAACTTTTCCAAAACGCACTCTGTGAATTTCTGCCAGAAGCCTTTTTTAGATGTAGTTGCTGTTGCCTTCAATGTAGCCTATGTAGATGGAAGTAAATGTCTTGGTTTCTTATTGGATTCACAATTGAACTGGAAACAGCATATTCAACAGCTCAATGAGAAATTAAGAAGCAGTTGTTTTGCTTTGAGAACCTTGAAAGCGGTGTCTATTCATCGAAACCCTAAAAATGGTTTATTTTGCGAATTTCTACTCTCACATGTCCTATGGAATTCTTTTCTGGGGTAAATCAATGATGTGGAAATCAGTGTTTATGCTACAAAAAAGATCGATTAGAATAATATTAGGACTTTCATTCAAATGAGAATTTCAACATAACCTTCCCTCTACATTCTTGAAGCTCCATGTTTTCAACTTTAGTTCTTCCTCTACTCGACAATGCTACAAAATGGAAGTTTGGTCAACGTTACACCGAATGGCAAGCCATCCTTATCATCACACACCTGTCTAAGGATTAGAAGAAGGGGATCTGGTGGAAAGGGTAGAATTCTGCAGGTTCATGATGAATTCTGATGCAGAAAATAGAAGTTTCTTATCCGACATTTCATGGAAGGATGAATCAAAATTTACTCGCGAGGGCATAACAAATTTTCAGAACTTCCATTATTGGGACGAAGAAAACCCCCGTTTAACAAGGAAAACTAGTTTTCAACAGAAGTTTTCTGTAAATGCGTGGATGAGACTCATTGACCGTTATTTAATAGGACCTCATCTTGTCCTTGAAAATTCAAACGGATAGATGTATGAAAATTGCCTACGGCATGATCTACTGCAGAACTCGACTGATATTCCAACAAGACGGTTGTCCAGCGCATTAGCGGCTGATCGTTCGGCAGTTCCTGGATGAACGTTTTCCTTACCGTTAAATTGGAAGGTCAGATCTAATAGGTTGGCCAATGCGAAGCCCTGACCTAACCCCCCCCCCCCTTGATTTCTATGTGTGGAGTGATATGAAAGTGCTAGTTCATGAAACCCCAGTAAGCTTACACAAAGGATAACCGACGCTGCTCTGCACATACGAAATAATTCGACATCTAGAATAAAAAAGACGGAAATGAGAAGACGTTGCATGTATTCGTAATAGAGGCTCTCACTTTGAAGAGGATTTGTGAGAAGTAAATACTGATGAAAAAATTTCGAGTACATTTTCACTAATCATTTAATATAACAAACCCATTTCAAGCAGTTTCAGTTTCATTTGTACCCAGTTAGATAGCCTCAAGGATGTTTCAACAAATTTTTGAGTGGCTTAGAGAATTTTCTGTAAATAACCGCTAAAAAATGTTTTTGCAATTCATGAACAAAAATACGACTTCGAATTTGCAATCCATCTATGATCTGAATCATTTTTGGATTTTTTCATTCCAAAACATAAGACCATAGTGTATTATAGTTGCAAGGTGAAGAAAATAAACAGCAGAATTTTGGGGAACTAACTTTTGAACCCTTGAAGTCTACTTTCTGAAAAGAAACAGAAAAATTCAAATATCTCAGGAACGATTCACTTCTGCATAATGCATATTGGGGTTGAATTCACTCCTTACTGCCTCCCCTATCACATCTTCAAAGGAATGTATCGACTCACCATTAACCCTGTATAATACGAAACTGAATGCCTCTCAGTATCCATGAAAGAAAAACTCACAATATTTAGATACAAGACGGAAGGTATAATCAGGATTCCGAAAACCTTAATTTTATTGGTTCATCAGATCTGCTCTTATATCAGCTAGATTACGACACTCTTTTCCAATATTAACAATCAACTCTGATCACCCTCCTGCATGATATATGATATAAGATATCATCAACTCTGCCCATCTACTGTTTTTCAGTTAGCGTACCAGCAAATCCACATTCAGATGCAGTGTCCTCATCCTCATCGGTATCGAGTTCTTCCGAAACGATAACAAAACATAACGTCATGAGGTTTTCGAGCACAACTCAAGTATCTCAAGAAATGTCTTCCAGCCACACGACTGAAAACGATGAACATCAATCAGGACCAGCCAGCTCGACTGAAGGGAATGATCTAGATATGTCCAGTGAAAGCCCAGAAATCAGTACTTCCATAGAGCCCAAGTATTGTTTAGTAATGGGTGAGTGAGTCTGAACAAAGCGGAAGCTATTCCTTTGTCGTAAATTTTTTCTAGAGGAAGAAGTTGGAAGAATGAGGATGTCCTTTGAAGAGATCAGGTTGAGTTGTATTATTTTCGTCTTCACGGTGTATATGCCTATGTGTGCTCCAATAAGTTCAGTATGGTTCGATATGATTCAGTATTGATTGTTCAGCATTGTTCAGTCATATGGTTCAGTATTGTTCAGTTTGGTTCATTATTATTCAGTATGGTTCAGTATGGTTCAGTATAATTCAGTATGGGTTAGTTAGGTTCAGTATGGATCAGTATGGATCAGAATGGTTTCATATGGTTACGTGTGAATCAGTACTGAGGTCCACGAACCTCTAACGATGCTAGAAGCATTTCGGATGACAATTGAGCAAATGGCCTTCCCCGCCTATTCTGACACTGCCGGAAATTTCAAATGGAAGTGAATTATTCAAGATGACATCAAGTTGAAAGACTAACGTACCTATGTATCCTTACTTCTGAACCAACATCGTCGAAAAGTCAATCTTTAACGGCCTGCACAGTTTACGCATCCAGCGTATTCTCGCGTTGAACTACAAAAAAACAAGTTCATGGTAACGTGACCCGAACCCACTATCTATCGCATAACAGTCTTGGAATGGAAAAATGGAAAAATGTTCTCAAATAACAATTGAGCAAGAAAAAATACGTCAGTCGGGAAACCAGCCACTCCCATTTCACTCGAATTGAACGCCTCGTGAGGTATAAATGCTGAAAAGCGTTCACGTTGGGTCAGGTTTGCACAAAATAGCGGTCAAGAATGCTATCTGGGACAGCCCTGCACTGATGAGAGCCAATAGCTCGAAACCGGTCTGCAGGTAGTCATACGTTCCTGAACTACTCAGGCGAAGCTCGGCGTTTAGGAAGGAAAAACTTGCGATTTTATTCGTCTATACCAATTATTGCATAATTTTAGGAGGATGTTATTCAATATTCTGCGTGGCATATTGCCAGGAAAGTAGTTGTTTTTCTCACGTTATCTTTACCATTTTCGTTCATTTTATGAGCAATTGTGGTAATGACTTTGAGTTTCTCTCTCTTTGTGACCATTGCATTCCACTTTGAGAATTTGGCATTTTCCTAATTGAAAATACGCCTGTCGGGCAACCAGTCACTTCCATTCCACCTGAAATGTGATCTTGTTCTTGAGTTTTTCTTTCCTTGTCAGGTGGCGTTCGGCGTTCGCGTTCATTTCGCGGACGTTGAACGCCTCATGGGGTATAAATGCTGAGATGCACCATCAGATAGCGGTCAAGAATGCTATCTGGGAGAGCCCTGCACTGATGGGAGTCAACAGCTCAGAACTGGTCTGCAGGTGGTCACGCGTTCCTGAACCACTTAGGCGCAGCTTGGCGTTCAGGAAGAAAACACTTGCGATTCAATTCGTCTATACGAACTATGAGATGTGATCCAATTCTCTGCGTGACATATAGTCAAAAAAGTATTTCTTTTTCTCTCGTAATCCAACATTTCTGTCCATTCCATGAACTATTGTGGTAATGACTTTGAGTTCCTCTCTCTTCGGGAATATAAATCAATTAAATATGCCTATATTTCAATCTTCCAAAGGAACAATCACTTTTTTTGAAAAAATCATTATGGAAGATATTTTGTGGGGCTCATAACACTTCTGGGTACCCTTCTCATCGAAACCCAAGTGACGAACCTATGACTGGACGTTCAAACCAAGTTTCTATCATAATAGGCAATTTTCGATCATTACATTAGCCATCATTCTGGAACTGTCACTTCTGTTTGTGATTTTAATCATTTCATTTTCAATAATCCACATCTGGAAATTTGAATCATCTTTTCCGCACTAAGAAGACGGAAAATAAACGTGCTTTTCTGATTCTCCCACCATATTGGCTGACGTGTTTGAAATTTAACGTCCGTTGAAGATTTCGAGGTTCCTACTGAAATTCTCTTCCACGAAAATATAGGTATACCTAGACATAAGAATCATGTTCCTAGTTCAAAGGGAGCGGCAGATATAAATAGATTTCTGGATGTTGTCGCGATCTTGGTCGCCACTTTGAATTCCGGTTGGAAATTCGTTTTGGCAACAATCATTTTCGGATGGATTTAATTCAGCAAGATCAAGATGAGGAGAAGGGACCTTCTGAACACTTGTTATCCGGAATGCTTTTATATCATCCACATTTTTCCAAAGGTTAGACCGGACTATTTTGACGAGTACCGTGCAAAATTAATTCACACAGTTTCTTGGGATGATATGTGCTTTGACATGATAGTTTTGAATATTGAATAGGTTCATATGTATACTGATCGATATTTTCAAAATTTCAGGTCGACAATACCAGATTGGAGACAAACTTCCCCACGACACCGGCAACTGTTTGGAATGCATCTGTGGCATGGGTGCCAAAGTCACGTGTTCTCCACATCAATGCTCGCCTGCGGGAGATGAAATAAATGACTACCGGATGCCTGGGCCTCGACAACCTGTTCCTGAAATGTTCTAATATTATATGCATACTTACAAAATAAGTAATGACAAATAGTAAATTATTTAGATCTGGGGTTATCATGATGGCGTTCTTTTCGGCACATATAAATTCATCATTAGCGTGAACCTCCAGACTAACTCCAATGAATGATTCACACAATATCTATTCACGTATCTGAGAAATAATAAATACTCGTGGAAATTACGAGACGAGAGGTGCACATGTTGCATAAATTTTTCTCTCATTAGCCACATGAGTACCAACACTTTATGATTCATCAAAGTTATATTATATACAGTAAGGTGCAGTTATTAATGAGTGGAATTTGGGAGTTCGTTACTATTCATCGAAATATTAAGAAACCTTCATTTAGAACGCGTCGTTTTCGAGATAAAGAGTTTTAAAAATGTGCTGTTATTTTCGACAATGAATTAACAAACTGGTATTTTTGGGTGATTTTCATCGAAGAGTGTTATAATTTTGTTTTAACTTTGGAGATATCCTATATAATGGAACCGGTTCAAATCAAGAACATCGTAAGTCATTACAAAATTACGCGAAGACCTCTTCTTTCGGAGAAAACTTCCAGGTTATTTGAAAATATTAATCAAAATGAATGACACTTTATCATATCTACTTCTTTCTCCATAAGTTTCGAATTTGAAATCCGACGTTATGTCTTCCAGAAACCATCATCAACTTATAATTTATTAATACGGACCTGTTCCGTATAAACGTAGTTGACCATTGACAAAAAAAACACAAAAACTATCAAATTTTTGTAAAGGAGACACTGAAATTACGCAACATTGACATAATTCAACCGACCCTGGTATTTCTTACGGTTCACGAGATCTCAGCGTGATCTCTGTGTGATTTCAATTCCAGCAATTCTGTATACCTGAAAAAATGGAGTAAACTAATTCCTTCGACACCCTCAGGTTCTGCAGTCGACAAGTTATTTCTGATAACTTCAATCTTTCATGTAGTGTGCAAAGTGCAATCAATTCATCTTGATCCGCTCCGAAACTTTGATTGTGGAAACATAATATTCAGACACGTATTTTAACACGGCACGTTGGAAAGAATATTTTCGTATCATTTTTTTTCATTATTTCAACGAGTTCAACAACATACTGTTGAATGTTCGAATATATGAGTGAAAATAATGAAAAGACACACTGTTACTTTCAACAACTCATTTCTCGAATAGGTATACTCACCACTCTGATATTCATGTATTTATATTTATGGAGAAGTCTTTGTAAAATGTTTGTGATTATTTCTCTCATTTCAAAATCCCCACATAATCTGACGAATCACATACAAAAGGCAACTTGTATTATCGCGAAAACATAATCAATTCAATCCATTAGCGTTGGTATTTTTATTGAAGTAACCATGGATGGCATAGCAGAGTTTGACAGTTTGACAAAAAATAGTTTTAGCTCTATGAATACATCACGCAGAATACCTGTTATGGATATCGTCTCATCATTCTATATCTTATTAGTGACTCAATTGATTATGTTGCCGTACAGTAATTAATACCATTCGTTCTGGCGCACTTGTTGTGTTGCTCGGCAACTCAATTTCGTGATAGACAAGGTGGCGAAATCATCTCGAACATCCGGAATATCGTGATAATGAAGGGTTTCCCAATAAGAATGTACGACCTCTAAAAAGTGTGAAAAATAAACAGTTCAAATAAAACGGACCTGGTTCAATAATCATTTTGAAACATACAGTGTCACCCACTTCTAATGGAAACACCCCTGTATCTTACGTAATCGTTGGGTAAGAATCCTGAAATTTGCTGAAGCGAGAGATATACCAAAAATGCACTTCATGACCAAGTGGGGTCATCTTCAGTGATAAACAGTGCTCGCCAACAGTCATGGAACCCCCACAATTTCCGGAAAATGATATTAGGTGTCAAAATAGGTCGATAATCACTTCAGATTCGGAATCAGGACGCCCAAAATTTTCAGTTCTGAAAAATTAAATTTTGTCGCACTTTTTACGGAAGCGTCTCCGTATCTTAAGTGATCGACTTTATCCTTGGACTTTCAAATTTCAAAACCCTACCCCAATAATTACGTGAGATACGGGGGTGCTTCCATGAGCAGTGAGACAAAATGAGTTTTTCTGAACTGAACTTCTTCTAGGAAAACAATGAATAGTTAGTGAATGGGGGGTCCTGATTCCGAATCCGAAGTGATTCTCAACCTACTTTAACTCCTAATATCATTTTCCAGAAATTGAGGTGGTTCCATGGCTGTTGGCGAGCAGTGTATATCATTGAAGATGACCCCACTTGAGCATATAGTTAATTTTTGGTATATCTCTCGCTCCAGCAAATTTCAGGATCCTCACCCAACGATTACGTAAGATACAGGGGTGTTTCCATCAGAAGTAGGTCACACTGTGTATGGTGACATTAAGTTTAAAAAATTATATCACCTAAATGTCCGCCGCGGCTTTGCCTGGTGAATCGAATTCCGCGAGTCCAGTTTATGATGACCTCATTACACATAATTATGTGGTTCAATAGCAGAAATTTCGCGTCTGATTTTGGCTTTAAGGGCGTCAACAGTCCGCAGTTTATCGGCATAGACACGAGATTCAAAGACACCCCAGATATCCAGACCAGAAGAAGAAGTCCAGCGTAGGCCAGTTGATCAAGGACACCATAAACTTGACGAAGTGCGCGGAATGTTTGCCGAACAGAACACTGAATTCGGCCTTGAATTTTGACGACGTCGACACGTTTTCAATTATTGTATACTGTTCACTGAACTAAAACACAGAGGAGAAAGGAATAACAAATTTCAGTCGTGTTCCTAAAAGGAGATCAAATATGGCGGAGATAGCTACTTCAAATGTCTACGCACTGACTCGTGCTCAAAGACGGCGTCATTTCAAATGTTACCCCGCAGTTGTTGAAATCTGAATTTGCTTCAACCCAAGTTATCGGAATAGAAATTCAATCACAGTTTTTTTCTGGATAAAGAAAATTGAATCAAAATTTATAGCACAACACAATATTCCTACATTCGGTCAAATATCAATCTGATATGGATTCAATTTGAATAATTAACATTAATACCAATTCATACAATATATTATTGTATTTTGATTAAGTTGTACAGACCCAAATATACAAAGTTCATGATTCATCAAGATTTATCTATTTTGATACTAATTAAATAGATCACATATAATCAATAGGTCCCTGAACTATGAAAAATTTCCACATGAATATATCCACTCATTTATGAGTCTTCAACTCTTCAATAGATCATTAATACACAAAACAGGAGCTTTATCGAGTACTAAGTAATACTACTACTTAACTCCACTTTGAGAAACCATGGACTTCTACCAAAGATTAAAAACTTCATTGATGACTGAATTTTTTCAACTTCTTCCTGATTGAATCCTCTTTCACTTCATATCTATGGACTTCTTTTTTGGTTCCATATCTTTGTTCAAGTGCTGAAAAAATTGTTTTTTTTTTGTTCATTAATCCAACAACAAGTAGGTATTCAGAAAGTTATGATCAAACCTGTCTATTATACAGTCTGTCCAAGATAAGGTTGCACAGCATGGGATCTCGGAAACGGTAGGAGATACGAAGTCGGTTAAATGGGGAAAAAGTTGCGCATTCGGAGGCTCATACCAACAGCCTTCGAAAATTTTCAATTTTTTTTTTAGTTTTTCAGTTATATCGAAAAAAGTGAATTTTTGGAATCTCTATTTTATTTTTTTTCTCCGTTATTATTAGAGCTACAGGGAAACTGAAAATGTTTTTTCACAGCAACTTTTGACGTTTAACGTGGTGATACCGATTTTTCTATGCGACGTTTCGTATTCGTAGAACCATTATCAACTTTTGTTTTTTAAATACGGCCCTGATAATTCTTCCACAGATTCTGAAAGATTTTTTCATTCTGAATTCAACCATGTATTGAACAAGGTGGTTTGAATGTGTTTCGAACTATTTTTACCCAACATCAATGTTTTTTTCGAAATTCCAAAGGAAAAATGCCATCAGTTCCACTTATTTTGAAGGAAAATTAGCCAACAAACTGATACCTCATCAACTAGTTCCGATTGATAGACTTATAGGAATAATTAGTTCGAAAAATTTAATTATGACAAGCTCCTTCGGATTAAAATATGAATACAATTCATAAACAATTCGAAGCGCTGCATTGAATAATTTAGTGGATTTTTTTTCAATTTTCAGTACTGAATAACTAGTCCATCAATGTTTGACACTGAATAATCAGAAATAAGTGAAACTGATGGCATTTTTCCTTTGGAATTTCGAAAAAAACATTGATGATGGCTAAAAATAGTTCTAAACACATTCAAACCACCTTGTATAATACATGGTTGAATTCAGATTGAAAAAATATTTTAGAATCTGTGAAAGAATTATCAGGACCGTATTTGAAGAACAAAAGTTGGTGATGGTTCTACGAATACGAAACGTCGCATAGAAAAATTGGTATCATCACATTGAACGTCATCAAAAGTTGTTATAAAAAAGTATTTTCAGTTTTTCTGTATCTCTAATTATAACGGAGAAAAAAAAATAGATATTCCAAAATATCACTTTTTTTATATAACTGGAAAACTTAGAACAATTTTGAAAATTTTCGAAGGCTGTTGGTATGATCCTCCGAATGCGCAACTTTTTCCCCATTTAACCGACTTCGTATCTCCTACCGTTTCCGAGATCCCCATGCTGTGCAACCTTATCTTGGACAGACTGTATATATAATAACCTCATCATCATTTGGTAGAAATCAATGGTTTGAAGACACATCCACTATTCATTGTTGGAGGACGATTACTACCAGGATTCTTACTTGTGAATCGTGTGACCCCTGAAAATGACTCCAGCAGAATGTTTAGTTTGTTTTTGTTTCCATAGTACTTCAGTTAACAGAGGTACCATCAAGTACCTATCATTATTTCAAAAACTTGTTGCCATCATAGATATT